ATACCAAATAGATTCTCAAGGACATTATTTTCTTACGCTTAGCTGTTCCTAATGTATAATGTAACAATTTAAAAATGAAGCTTTACAAGCAGTTGCTGCTTAAATGTAGACTGAAACGTGAATTTAGATTATAAATAATTCTGTCCAAACTAGCCATGTTTTGTTCCTTAATGTACATGTGAGGCACTATTATTTTATTTTATGGGGATAGAGGGATTTAATTGTTTTTTGTCAAGAATGTTTCCTATTCATGGTACAGCAGGAGTGAGGGAAGTGAAATTGTAATAGATTTAGACTTTTTATTGCAAAATGCTACCTCTGTGAACCCAAGAAGATTTGCAATTCATTTATTCTGTCATCTGATGGTACAATATTTTGGGTCTAGTGAGAAATGCAGAAGTGTGGACCATGTTATGCCAAGAATGAATTGCATATATTATTTCCTGACTGAAAATTTGTAAATCAAGCTTTTATTTATTAATGATTATTTCTGCATTATAGACATAACAATAAAGCAGAATGAAGGATGATTTGACATCCAGTTTCCTACACTCACAGAAGATGTCTCATGCAAGAGACATCCACAAGATTGCTACTGAATGCCCTAAACAAAGCCTATGCTTAGTTGTATCTGTTTCAGTCCCAGGATATTAGAGATATGCGGTGGGTGAGGTACAGTAATATATTTGATTGGACCAGTCAAGGGCTGCATTGAGTCCATGATTTTTAGTAACTTAGGGTACATCTACACTACAGCGCTAATTCGAACTAACTTAGTTCGAATTAGTTAATTCGAACTAAGCTAATTCGAACTAACGCGTCTAGAACTAAAAACTAGTTCGAATTAGCGTTTTGCTAATTCGAACTAGCATGTCCACATTAAGTGGACCCTGAACAGGGCTTAAGGATGGCCGGAAGCAGTGCCGGCAGGGCATCAGAGGAGGACTTAGAGCGTGGAGATGCTGTCTCAAGCTAGCCGAGGGCTGTGCTTAAAGGGTCCCGACCCCCACCCCGGACACACAGTTCTAAGGGGTGCCCCGCTTGCA